TGTGCAACCTGGACCTTGGCAGTGTCTTTGATCTTTTCTGCTTTTTCCTGGGGTGGCATGGTGTCGTTTTTACAGCTTTTGGTGTTTGTGTCTGCAGTGTCTTACAGGCTGTTTGGAGCAGGCTTTATTCTTCTTTTAGCAGATGCTGTTGTCAGCAACTCTGCAGGCCGGCCTTAATGACCTGCCTAATGGAAACGAGAAAGCACTTCCCCTCAGCTTGGTTTCCTTCCTCATTTGGATGGGACTGTGAAATCCGAGACTACAAAGTTTGGCGCTGTCCACCTTGGCAAATGTTGCTAACATCGTGCTGTCTAGTATTGTTTTTATAGCACCTTACCACCAGAGTGCTTTGCCAGCGTTATGCTTCACCCCGTGCTTGTTGCGAAGGAGGCTGTGAGTAACTTTATCAGGGTGTCGCAGAGGTATGTGATGTAGCACGACGCTTGCCCTTCTTGAGAGGTTGTTGCTTGAAATGGTCCTCTGTGTTTGTGTGCAGCATGCCATTTGCATAATGAACACTTTCTTTAGGTAAAAACTAGCAGTAATTCAATTTTGAATTATTGTTGCATCTGTGCTATGACGTGGTATTTCTGTACTTCAGGGTTGCTCTTCTGTTACTTTTTTTTAATGGACTTTGAAATAGAGGCAGCACTTTGAAATGGAGGTGTTTCAGAAATGTAGCATGCTGTATTTATGGAGGAAAACCAAAAATAGTGCGGTGAGACCTAAAATGTGCCTAGTGTTAAGTACTCGTCTGCAAAGGGGAAAGGATAAATTGGGTATTTTTGTGGTATCATAAAGTATAAATGAGCCTTAATGGGAGTTAAGTGCTTTAACTCCTGTGGATTGAGAGATATGAAACTTTCAGAGTTGTCCTTCATAGCACAGAAAGATAAGTCTGACAGGAGACTTAATTATGAAATGTAGAAAAGGAAGAAGAACTAGTTAGATGCTAGTAAGCCCTCCATCATTATAAAAGACAAGTAGAATGTAAAGATAAGACTTGAAGCTAATAAAGTAATGTAAACAGATTTTCCTCTCCGCTTTGCAATAATTGGGGTGTGTGAGAGGAACCCATTCACCAACAATGAGTAGTGATGAGTATTGTCATTTGATGCTAGAGGGAACTAGATAATTTTTAGAGATAGAGAGGATCAGAAAGTACTGCTGCTAACTTTCTAGTCTTGTGTTAAAGTGGTAATTTATGTGAAAACACAACTTCTTTCATCCTTTTAAATCTCTGGGCAGCTTTGCCCTTATTTATTTTACATATGGATGTTGTTAAGAATCTTCTGTATTTTGTGTCTTTGTCTAAGAAGAAACAAACTTTCATCTGATGCTTTTGTGTCTGTCTGTCTCTTTTTATCAGTCTGGTGGTATTGCCACTACAGATTCATGTTGCCCAGTACCATTTTGTTTAGTATTCAGGAGACAACAGTCTGCAGTTTGATGATGATTTCTAGCCATTCTGTGTTCTGAATATGTGTTGGTATACTCCTGCCAACACAATGAGCCATCTCTTTTATTAGGATCGTTTATCTCAATTACCTAATACTTGCCTCTATATTTTTGTTTATTCTTAGATCTAATAAAAAGTATAAAAGCTCCTTTTGTGCCTTACTTATCATAATAACTTCATTTATTGCAAGATATGTTTGTAACATGAAGGAAATAGTAATTTTATTTTAAAAATATCTGTTATTATAGAGAAGGGTAAGAAGGTAAATCTTCCTCGACAGACAAAGAGCATATTAAATGAAGACATGTTGACAAGCTGATCTGATTGCTCTTTATTTGAAGTGTTGGTAGATTTATATGCCCAAGAGCTGCTGAAAGGGTGGAAATGGAGCTGTTAACTCCAGCTGCAGGTCTTTCTCAACCGAAAGGGAAATGGCGTATATGGAAAGCCTGTCCTTTTCCTAGTCTAAATCTTAGCAACATGTTTTGTGTTTACTTGTGGAGCAAACAACTTTGGAGTCTTTTTTTACTGTGTTTTTTCCCATCTAGAACTGGGATAAAGTTCCCTTTATCATTGCTGTTTCATCTCTGTCCAGTTAAAAAGCTTAGGTTTTGTGTGTATGTGTTGTGTAGACATTTTGTGAGTTGCATGGCTGAAGTTGTTACCTTCACTTGTCCATGAATGTGGCATGCTTAGTGACTTTATTTTAATCAGATGAATATATTTTTAAGACAAAAGGGCCACTGTCATCTGTATGGACTAGAACAGAAAATATCAGTATTTTGATTTTTTTTTGTTGTTGTTCTTTTTGCCATTTTTAATATTGCTAATGACAACTTAAAAAATGCACTCCTATCTTACGAGTTAGCTTTTTTTAAACTTTTAGTCTTATTTTCTTAGCATGTATTAGGTTGGCCAGAAAGTATTAACATCTTTTTCTGGGTAAGTGAAAGGTGAATTTTTCATGGGAAAAAACCCCTGTGTTAAACAACACATTGTCCATTTTGTTCAATTGCCTTTTGCCATCCTTCCAGGAACTTCATGATTTCACGCTCAAAAAAGTTCTTAACTTCTTCGGCAAAAAAACCAACTCCAGGAATGATTCGATATCCTCATCAGCAGTGAAGGTTTTACCATTCAAGGTGTTTTGAAAAGAAAAAATGAATTAACATTCAGTATGTATGGTGCCAGGTCTGGCGAATATGGTGGACGTGGTAACAAACCCCATGCAAGCTGCATCAATTTTTGATGATTGACCAAACTTGTGTTTCTCCATAATAACGCTAGACCACATACAACACCTTTGCAATTCACCAATTCTGGATGCTTCTGTTTGATGGCATCATTTAATTCATCCGGGTGATGATGGTACACATCTAAATTAATGATTTGGTTCCTTGGAAGCAATGCAAAATACAGAATACCTCTGAAATCCCACCAGGCCGACAGCAGAACCTTCCTTTGGTGAATATCTGCTTCTGAAGTGCTTTGAGCTGGGTCATCACACTTGCTCCATGATCTCTTTTTTGTTTATCATTGTTGTAGATGATCCATTTGTCATCACCTGTTATAGGTTTCAAACGTGTAATTTTCTTCATGTTTCAAGAGATTCACAGATGTCAACGTGCTTAGTGAGAGCAATTTCTTTGAGTTAATGTGGTACCCAAATATCAAGTTACTAACATATCCAAGTGGTTTTAAGTGGTTGATACGTCAAGATTATCACCAATCTCTTTTGTTAAACACCAGTTGTGTTGTTAAATGCTTTTATTTTGTCATTATCAACTTCAATTGGCCTTCCTGAGCATGGTGCCTCTTTAACATCAGAATTTCCAGGCTGAAATTTAGCAAACCGGTTCTGACACTGATGTACTTTTAAAGCATCTTCACATACACATGCCTTCACTTTTTATGAGCTTGCACAGTGTTTTTTTCCTTTCCTGAAGTAATACACCAAAATATGATGAAGATGTTCCTTTTGATTCTCCATCTTAAAATCGACACCAAATAAATAATTAACAAAATTGTGAGCTTTCTTTTTGTAAAACGAGCTTGAACTGTCAGCTGTCAAGTTACACAATGAATTTGCAGTTTAAAATGAAGTTAGTTACATTTCAAGACATGTATGTTCATCTATTAAAAAAAGAATGCAATTACTTTTTGGCCAACCCTATATTTCTGTTCATTGAACCCTTGCATTATGCTGGTCATCCTCCTGTAAGCCTCCTTTTCTGTCAGTACAAAAGCTGCAGATTTCCTTCTTAGTTGTATCAAAAAAGAGAAACTGGCCCATGGCAGGGAGTTTACAGTCCTGTGCAGTGCACAGGCTTGTGTCTAGAGTGTGTTACTGAGAACTGATAGCTGACCAGGAGGAAAGACTCCAACTGGTTGTCTGATGTTGTGAGGTCTTTTTTTTTTTTTTTAAATATTGGTCTTTTTTAAACTTGTGTGTGATCTTTTGGCTTACAATTGAAATCACAGAATCACAGAACGTTAGGGATTGGAAGGGACCTCAAAAGATCATCTAGTCCAATCGCCCAAATCCTGGTAAAACTCTGTGTTTCAGGATAAAAGACACATTCTACCTTAAGTTTTTGCTTTGACTTTAGTTATTTAAAAAAAAATCACAAACAAACAAAAAACCAAAAGCAAGCTGAGACTTGCAAGACCTATCTCACACAAAATTACAGTCGTAATAACATAAAATAACTTTCTTCCTTTTTAATCAGGTGTGATGATACATTGGACTTGAGATAAAGAGTTTTCTAATGCAAAGTTATATTGAAGTAAACTTCTGCGAAAGTCATGTTTCTGCTGAAAGTAATAGAGGGAACTTCAAAGGCTGAAAAGGTTGTTATTTTATTGATGTGGTTTATAGAAATCCTTTTCAGAAATTGAAGCTGTCTGCGGTGATGATTATTTTTTCAGAAGTAGCAGTAAAAATATTTCTAGTTTTACCTCCATAACTAGAAAGGGAAGGGTATTCTGCTGCCCAAAATGCTAATCCTTATATACTTGTATACTCCTTGAGAGTATTGACCTCTGCAGTTCCAAGTTTTGCACCTGGTGAGATATTTCCAAAGTCAAATGTGCACAAATATAGGCTTGGTAGCTTCTCAAATGAATAGATAGTGAGGTGTGCTTTGCAGTGGAGTAATTGCCCAGAGGATTTTTTGAAATGGAAAATCAGAAGTCCCCTGTATTGTGTCATACATGGTTTGTGAAGGTTGTAAGAAAGGAAGATGTGTCAGAATGAAGAAGAGAAGCTGAATGTCTTTGTGTCACTCTTATTTAGGAAGATAGAATGAAATCAGTGCTAGAGGAGCTGTAAAGCTGTAGCTTGAGGAAGGAAAGCATGTAATACATTTTAGTTGAATTTCCCCTTCAACATGTAATCCAACAGTTTTTTTATTGTAGTCCTCTACAAGGAGAAGTTCTCAACAGTGTATATGGTTGTGTCAGTGGGGCTTGTGAAGGTGCGTGTGTGGGTAAATGTTACTGAACTCTGCCTGGTTACTTTTCTTCTCTGTCTTAGGCTAAAATTAGCTATGAAAAGGAGCAGAGGCGCAAGCTGCTAAAGCATCTACGAGGTGAAGATACGTGGATGCTTGCTGATGTGAATGAACGTGTGGAACAACTGGAAAAGGTGACAAAACTGTATATCATTGAATTGTGTTGTTAGCTTTACAGCATGTTTGTATGAACAAAAGGCTTTGAGGGCTTTAGATGATCTTTAAAAATCTCTCTATTTCTGAATTCTTTATGCTTCAGTATTAATACAGAAGAGCATATAATATTAATGCAGAAGAGCAAGCGCTGCCAGACAAGAACAGTCCAAGGCTTCACAGGAGAAGCCGTAGTGGAACCTCTGAATATTGAATACTTTTAGTGTAGAAAGTTTTGTTGAAATATCTGCACAGGACAGAAATGTATTGGTGATGCAGTGATTCCTGAGGAAATAGACTTGAGCAAAATAGATGTACTATAGATGATATTCTATGCATAGCTGTAGTGCCTTAATTCCAGTGAAAAAGCTATTGAGAGGGGAAAAAAATCAATTATGGATGTGAGGCATGAACGTTCTCCCACCCCAATAGGAGAGAGGGTAGTAGAAGTAAAATGTAGTTATGTCCAGCTGTGTGTGTGTTTTACCTTTTTTAGTGTGGTTTGGTAAGTAGATTGTGATTGTTCTTCTTGCATGTGGGTGATTTGGTTTACTGGATCTCATTTACAAACATTTACTTGTAGGAACATTCTGTGCAGAGAAAAAAGAAAAAGGATAAGCATTCAAAAAAAGCTAAGAAGGAAAAGAAGAAAAGTAAGAAACAGAAATCAGAAAAGAAGGATGACTTACTTGACAGTTCTTCGGTAAGTAAGAATCTTTAAAATGCTTCAAATGACACTTTAAAAACCTGCACCATTTTAGTCTCTGTGGATACTCATGGTTAGTAAATTAAGACTCATTCTTACAATTTTCTGGTGAAGTCTTATCTTTTTAATATGCTGAATATTTAATAAATTTAAAAGACGCTGTTATGTGAGTGCTTGTGAATTTTATAGTATTAAATTCGCTCATTAGGGACTAAGAGATTTACAGTTTTTCAGCAGAAATTGAAATAAATCGTAATTCTAGGATAGAGTGGAAAAATTCATAGGTTCCTTGTAGTCAGTGGTATATGATAGAATTATGTGTAAAATTGCAAATACTAGACTCTGATTTTAGGCATGAGTTACTGCTGCCTTTTTCCGTGGTTGCTCAACCATGGAAACTCCCAACATGGGAGTTGTACCTGGGTCTGAAGGAAGTCTCAAACTTGTGCATTTGAACCTGTAAATGGATGCTTTCACGTTGAGGGGCACTCTGGCAAAACAGTGCCGAGACTGCATTAGAAATCTGGGAGCTGCTTTCTGGCCATGTTGTGTGAAACATCCTACCAGCATTTTGGTGCAAGACAGGTACCACTGTGATTTTTTGCTTTTCAGAGTTTCTCGTTTATTGAGTGAAAGAACACGCAGTATGATGAGATTTATTTTCCAGGGATTGATATCAGAAGTGAACTATACTTTTCAGTGAGGAAAGTAACCTAAGCCACAAATGTCTTACACTTCCCATCTGTCAGAACACATCAGTGAGTCCCAGGACAGCACAGTCCTGGCTGATACCTTTGATCCAAGTCTGTTATTCCCGTGACAGGTTCATGTAAATAGCAAAGAAACTCTGTTCAATGGGGTCCTATTTGCTTCAAGCGTAAAATCTCGGTACTCTGTTTTTAAGTGTAGGAAGTTGGATATAAAAATAGGAGATAGCATGTGCAGTGTTTTATATTGTACAGTGTTACTGATTTTACTTTTTTAATGTAAAACATACTTAGTAACGAATTTCTATTTTAAAATTTTGTTTTTGAATGCCATAAAAACAATTGGTTTTGTTTTTGTTTGCCTTCTGATGGTTTTGACTTTGGCAGTGTTATGCTAATAAACTGCAAGTATGAACTAATGTTACATACTATGATGTACTCATGAAGTATGGTGGAATGTTTTGGTCATGAAGGAATGAACTCCTATGGGAATATCAATGTTCTATTTTTATTATCAATATTTTAAAAATAATAAACATATTAGTAATGCTAAGTAATTAGCATAAATTTTGATTATCTATATACGCCATAAGTATTGCATTTTATCAACATGTAATAGTATGTTAAGGTGGTGGTGTTATTTTTTACATTAAACTCTATTCTTAGGATTCTTCAGTTGAATGGGTTGAGTCAAATATGTCACAGTCAGATAACACAGAAAAGGCTTGGAAGGTCAACAAGCAATCAGATGCTATGGAAGAACCCTCCCTGCAGGTAAGCAGTCTGATAACTACTCCAGAAATGAATCCAGCATGACCAAATGTGAAATGTGCTTAGGTTTCTTGACAGCTCTTTTGGAACGTGTTAAAAAAAAGCCTGTTTTTCAGACAAATGTCTTTGTTTAGCGAGGTAAATGTTACATTTAATTAATCGGAAGACTTCTCTACCTAACAATTGCTTAGTATTTAACAAGATACTACACTTAAAGTTGCCTGGCACCAATTCCTTTCATCTTGTTTTGAGGCTCTAGCAACATGGCTTGATTTTCTCGAGGTCAGCTTAAGGATCTTGGCTAGACATGTTATTTTTTTCTCCATAGCTTTGGTGGTTGTTCTACAGTTGACTGATTTTTTGCTTCTGTGGTGCTTAAGCAGATATAAGGAAGAGAAGTGTAGAACTTTCAACTGCCGTATTTTTGGAATCAATGCTTCTTTTGATCTTCCTAGGTGAATTCTATGCCTGGTAAGCAGTGTTTATTCTGGAAAATGGAGTAATTCTGAAACGAACTGCTGTGATTTTTATTAATGTCAATGTAGTTACAGATCATCCTCAGTTTTGTGAAATGATGATTTTTAATTCAGTGTCAATTCCACTCCTGAAAAAATGCGCTGTTCATCATTCTGAATTTGTGCATCCTGTTAAGAGAAATAAAAAGGATCTCTGAATCATTTCTGTCTTTTTGGAAAAGTATAAAGTAATGAAATAGAAATCCTTATATATTTTATGATAATTTATACTGCAAAAGCAGGTTTTTCCAAGCATTTCTTTTATAATGTGCACCCTAGGTTTGTCTATTTTTAGATGAAGAGTGTGCTTTTGGAAGGAATTTCCTGGACAATCGTATTTCTTTTATGTTGGCTTACATTATAAAGAAGTCTTGGAGCATGTAAATCCATTTTCTATTGGATTAAACTGAATTAGAAGTTATGTTCTCTCCATGGGACTGGTCTTGGACTAGTCCAGGGTGCTTTCTTTCTTTTTTTTTTTTTTTTTTAAGACAGACACAAAAAAATATCCCCAAACCGTAGATCTGAAGCCAATATGGAATCCAGAGTCAGGCTCTTTTCAGTGGTGCTCAGGGGCAGGACCAGAGGCAATGGGCACAAACTGAAACACAGGGAACAGTGTTTCACTGTGGGGGTGACCAGGCAATGGCACAGGTTACCTGGAGAGGCTATGGAGTCTCCATCCTTGGATATATTTACAAGTCATCTGGTCCTGGTCCTGGGCAACTGGCTCTGGGTGGCTCTGCTTGAGCAGAGGGGTTGGACCAGATGACCTCCAGAGGTCTCATGCACACCCACCTCTGTTGATCCATGTTGCTTGCTCACATGAGCATAGATTCTATTAAATCACTTGAAGATAAATTATTTTTCAGTTCCTTCTCTTTCTTAGAGGAGATCTGAGAAGTAGAATGTTGTGTTTCACCTTTGAAACTCTCTGGTGTGTTGCCCAATATAATTTTTAAATAACATAAAGTGTGATGTATACCATCTATTCAAATTGACTACTTAGACTTGAACCCTACTGAAGATCTGAAGACCCTTCTGCAGGGACATGTTTCAAAATAGGTGTAGTCTTGTCACTTTGGTTGCTATACTTCCCGTAGAAGTGATACAAATACTTGCTTTTGTAGAGTGATTGTTTTTAATGTGTATGTCACTGCTTGCTTTTCAGGCTTCAGGTTTTGTGTGTCTATAAAGGTAGTAGGTATATCTGGGCTTTCTATATGATACTTTTCTTTAAAGAGTAGTCCTCATTTTTAAAGTATCCTTGGTTTGGCTTAGCTTTTGTAAATGCAGTTTTCTACCTGTTACTGTGGGTACAATTCACAGAATTTAGATGTGTAACTGTTTAATTTGAGGGTGCAGTTAATGGCTGAGTATCTGAGGTATGAACTATGCTTAGTTAGTGATTGCAGATTTTGTATATGCTGGAAGAGAAGTAATAGGTCATGAAGTCGGTATTAGCAAAATGAAAAGGAATTGGTCTAGGTGTGTAGTGCTTGTTTAAGCAAGTAATAAGCAGTATATACAGTTTGCATGTTTACTCATGTCTTAAATACATTGTGAAGCTGTATTTCAAATTACAGAAATACATTTATGAAATCTATTTGTGTAAGTGAATATTAAAAAATTTTAAGATTTGGGTTCTTAAAATCCTATTTGCTCTTCATTGAAGTATTTCATATGTGTCTGTAAAACCTATACTGTTTATTGTAAGTAACATTTGTCAGTAGTTGCACTGGTTTTATTTGTAACTCAGTTACATTTTTGTTGGGAATATGAACATTGACTCTTTGTGTTTATTTTGAAGAGAGAAGAATGGATGAATTTAGACTTCATGTCATTGAAAACCACGTCAGCAGCAGCAGTCAGATGTGAAAGAAACAAAGATAAAATATTGGAACGACAGAAAGCTCAAGAGCTTGAGCAGGTAGGAGAAATTAATATGTCAACTTCTTAATGCAGCTTACTAGATTTTGTGTGATGAATGAACCAATGAATTGGTTCAAATATTTAAGTCTTCATATAGTTTTTAAACTATTGCCTAATGTGTTGTGTGATAGTGATTTTAATTAAATTGATCCGTTATTTATTCCATTTGGGATGGGAAGGGTTCATACAGCAAGCTTATCTTGTGGAGGAAAGCCTTTAAACTATCTTCTAGGTCGGGAGAAAGCCAGTTTTGTTAGTACTAAGTTGATGTGAGATGTTTTTCTTAACAATGACAAAATGTTGGTCTGGCCTTCTTCTCTGTGGTGTGTGTGAAAGGAGCACCGTTATTTTGTGTGATAAAAGCTTACCTAAGTTTCTGTGTTAAAGCATAGGGTGCTGAGGCTTGTTTTTTCCAGAAGAAATTCGGAGCAGTTGCTGTGCCTTTCATGCCGCAGCTGTGTTATGCACACATGGGTGGATCCGGGTCGGGCTGGGGAAGGAGTTGCTGTCATTAAATTAGTTCTATTTACATAGAGTTGCTGGCTGCTTTATTTGTTCATTCAACTCCTTAAACACAATGTAATCTGATCTAAAAACATAGTTGCTGATCACTATCTAATGTTTTCTTGTCCTCATATGTCACAGTAGGCCATTTGTTGCTGGTAGGTTTTCCAGTTAGTTGTGTTCTGGCTAGGAACCGGATTGACCTGAAGCTGTTCTTGTGTAGTGTGTGATGCTTTGGTTATTGTCTTTTGAGAAGGGATTAATCTTTTTGGTTTTTCACCATGTAATTATTTGGCGAACATTTTCTTCTGAACTGTTGAGGGACTACTTAATGTGGAGATCTTAAATCACCAGAATGTCAGCATGTATGATATTGTTAGTGACAATTTATATGTATTCTTGATCCTGGAGGAATATGACTTTTATAGACTCACCCAGACAACCGCTTGCTTTCCATGCAGGTTTATACTTTTGTGTTTTCTACATCAGAATGTCTGTCCTTTCTTTGATACTCATTGTCTACAGCAGATGCATACAGCACACCAGTAGTGGTGAGGAGTTGATGATACAACATAGAGAAATTCAAAATTTTGTCAGTGCTGGAATGCCTGATGAACCCTTTTCTCTGATGGACCTCCTTGCCTGCTTCCAGAGAAGTCAGCTGACAGAATCACAATAAGCAATCTAGTTTGAGGGTGAGAAGCAGTAACTTGAGGTAGAATTAAGAGCCCCCATAACAGCTTCAGATGCTTCAGATGCAAGTGCATATTACTGCTACACTGGTAATGATGTCAAATGGTAAAACTGCTTCTGTGTAATAAGGGTCCCAACTAAGCACGTGTTTGAGAGCTTTGACTTGGGACGGAAAGTTACGTTTATTTCTGTCTGTCTTTAGATAGCACAAGTTACGAGTAAGCCATTCCATTCCCACATAAGTCTCACAAAATTTAACAAATATTCTAGAAAATACAAACTATATGGTATGCACACGTTAAAATTATTTCTGTTTTAGGCCATGCTGTCTGAGAGAGAACTCAATCCCTATTGGAAAGATGGTGGTACAGGTTTGCCACCAGAGAAAGATGGAGCAGCTTCAGTTAAGAAAGGTAAACAGCAGCTTTTAGTAATAATCTTAAATTTCTGTCTCCAGTCTCTGGTGTCTGTGTTGCTAACAAGTTACTACTAATGTTGATGTAAAGGAATTATGAATTACATGTAATGAAGTAAAATCTGGATGAAAATTCAATGGTAAATATTGGGATAATATCATAGCATGTTTTTTGCTGAATTTCTCTTCACTGGTTTTTACTCTTGAGTGGTTTGGTGTTCAGTATCTTTACAGAAATTCTCCATTTTGAACTAATTAAAGGAAAGCTTGATTTAACCAAGACAAGATAAATTGTCATCTCATTTGGTTCCTTCCATTCCATTACACACATTATAGTTTTAAAATATTCAACCACAGAAGTCTGAGTCACATTAAAATAAAGTACATTACAGATGCAGTTTGTGAAAAATATTATTTCTGTAACCTTTTCACTTCTTTTCTTACCCTAGGGTTATCCTGCATATTTCCAGCAAGAGCAGTTACAAAAGTGTTTTTCATAATGTCGTGAAACTTTTATTGTGTGATAAGAGGGGTCCTTGTATTCTGTCAACAGGGAACAGCAGGGTCTCTGGCTTTTCTCTTTGGGAGCCTTTCCCCGTGGACAGTCTGTCCTGCAAACCATTAGCCTCATGCCCACTTTTAGAAGTTGCAGAGATCAGTGATCTGTAAGAGGTGACAGGCATCAGTGAGTACGTGTCCTGAATGTAAAGACCTCTGCTGGCTTCTAGAATGGAAAGCAATGGGTTAGTCTTTAGTTTTCTGAAAGGGGGAGTGCATTTGTTTGTACATAAATGGTCTGCCAAAGAATGGACGCACCGAAAGTGGAAACAATAAGAAGGTTCTTTAACTGCTGTATGATAAAAATGGAGAAGCTTAAATTAAATCAGTGCTATTACTGAGCTATATCCAGCATTAACTTATAAAAACATGTAATTGTATTGTTAGAGTATTTCTATTTTTCTTTTGTATCCCTTCAATTTTTACATTAAGTTTAGGTGAAGGTTTAATGTCATGTACAGAGTAAGGTTGAATAGGCATAACTACCGAGATATAAAACTATGACTTCTCATTATTTTCTACTTCAGGTACAGTGGTAGAAGATGCTGGATTAAGTTGGTTACGAAAATCATACCAAAGAATGAAGGAGCAGGCTGAGAGAGAAAAAAGGAATTTTGAGGAAATTGTAGCTGAGAGATACGGGGTAAGGATCTTCAATTACATTTCTTTTTTGTACTAATAGATGCTTGGGTAAGATTGCTTTCATGTAAAGGCACAAATACTTAATGTGTGGTATAAGACAGGGGAAGAAGCAGAAAAAAACCAGCCTCTGAACCTTCTCTCAAGTGATGAAGAGTTTAAAACTACCCAACATTTTATGTCTCTTTTGTTAAATATTTTTAAATATATGGATCGTATAGCAAATTTAAAATACTCATGTTCTACATCAGGAGGTCTAAATGATCCCAGTTACAGAGTACCCGAGTGCTTCCAAAAGTAGCAGATAATAATGCACATTGTGGATTATAATAATGCCAAGGTAAGCTGGAAAGCTGTATCAAAGTTTACCAAATATGAATCTTCTGGCCGCTTGTGATCTGCTCAGTCCAGATGTATTGAGAAAGCTGCTTGCTTCTGAAGGGTTTAAAAGTGCTCAAAATTTATTTTTAATACAACAATCTGCAATAACAATATTAACTCTTTAAAGCCTATACTCCCTGCATTTTATATTATTGTCTTTAAAGGCGTTCATCAAAGGTGTAGTGTGTTAAATCTTGGCCACAGTGTACACTTGAGTTTTCTGAGTTTTTTTATTAGGTTGGTTTGGCTGTGGAAATCTTGGATAAGACAGTATGACTTCATACTCTTGTCTTTGAGCTGAATTGTAGTCACTCCTGAGTGATGAAACCAACATGATCAGTGCTGGTAGAAATTATTCAGAGCCAGTGATTGTAAAGAACATTATTTTTAAGAGTCTTTTTAAAGAAATTAGAGTTCAAACAGCATGAACTACTCTGGCCGCTGAAGTACAGGATAGTGATTGAAATTGATCCCTGCCTGGTGTGCTTCAGTATATAATGCTTTCGGGGGGGAAAAAAAAAGTGTAATTGCTGGCTTTAAATTCAGCTCAAAAGGGGGAAGAGGAACAATCCACATTTTGCATAGTTGTCTAAAGGATAAAATATTTGTCCAGAAAGCCAGAAACAGGGATTCAAAGCCTGTTTCGAGCTAAATATTTTGAACCCTGTCTCTTGTGTTGTTAAGAGTTTAATTAGACTGTAAAATTATTTAGTGGGAACGTCCATTGGTTCTATAGAAGCTGAGCATCTGGTGAATATAAATGCAAAGTTCATGAGTAAGAAAGAGGAAGCTTCTCTCCCTAGCTCAAGCCCATAATCTCCAGGCTGCTAGGAGGAGAGTTCTGAGGCTCCGGTCCCTGTTCGCAGAAGTGCTTTAGCACTTTACTTTAGAGCAATGGGATGAAAATTAGAAGTAGTCCAGGAGAAAGGATCAGAAAAGCTTCCCAACAGAGCATCTTAGACACAAGGCTGTAAGTTCCCTTTTTTGTCCTGGTCTTCCTTTGCAATCCATGGCTCATTCCTCGCCCTTTGCACACACTGACTCATTTTCACAGAATGGTGCCTTTCTATGATACATTCTTTAATATGTTGTAGGGCGCTTCACAATACACCATGATCTTAAAAGCAGTATGACTTTTTTTTATTCTTTCTTGTAGTCAATGGAAGTATTTCAGTCACGATTAGAAGAAGCTGAAAAAGTTGCACCCAGAAAAGAAAACTATTATAGAAGTGGAAGATGGAAGAAAACTGACTATTCAGAAAATGAGAGAGACAAGAAAGAACAGCATATGAAAAAGGAGACACAAGATGAAGATGATAGGAACTGGAACATGTCTGGGGGCTATACTAGGGAGAAGTATGGCAAGGGATGGGGGCAAGAAGACAAAGGTTACAAAAGAGATGTGTCAAGGGAAGACCAAGAACGTGGACACAGTAGAACGGACTCAGTAATGAGAGGCTACAGCTCCAAAGGAGAAAAACACTCTGATGAAAAACAAAGTCAGGAAAAGAGTTTATCTTTAAACAACATGAAACATAAATTTCTGAAACCCTCTGAAGACGATTCATCACCTTACAGTGCACCTAGAGACTACAAGTCACAGCAGTCCTCTTCCAAACAGCTGGTTCATAGCTCTTTGAGCAACCGCTTCCAAAAACCTAGTGAGGATACTGCACTGTGGAGCAATACACATGCAGAAGATAACAGTGAGAAAATAATGTCTGATCAGAAATTATCAGTTGGGGGGGCACAAATTGATGACAGCAGTTCGGAAAGAACTCCAAAAGATCAAAAAAAGAAGTCAGAACAGGAATATCCAAGCAATATCACTGAGAAGAAACAAATGTTATTTGACAGTAAAACATCGTGTTCTAGGTATTTTTTAAACATCTTTACTTGTCCTTTATTTGCTATATTTTTCATGGCAAAGTATACCAGAAACACTGTCTTCTTTGAGACAGTATTAAATCAGATCATAGCAGATCTCTTTAGTTAAGAGGAAACTGCTCTCCCGGCTAGGGACAGCTACAACAGACCACTGTAGAAGTAACAAGCACCCTCTGCTTGTCCTGTCCCCTCAGTGTAGTTGAGAACTGATAATGATAATTTTTTTTTTCTGCTTCTTTCTAATGTTAGTTCACACTGCAGTAAAATTGACCTTGTAGGCAAAAAAACCTGCACAACTATCTTAACTGTTGCTGAACTTATAAAAGACAAACTTGAAATGTTGGAAAATGCTGACTGAACACTGAAATAATACAGCCGGGATTGGTTTCCCTCCTGTGAGAGGAACTCATATGCTAAAGCAGTAGCGTGTGAAAAATAGTAGAAGGTATCGATTAGAAAAGTGCTTTTTCTGTGGAAGAGAGGAGAGATGAATAGAAGTGGGAAGGGAAACAAACTAATTGTGGTAGAAATTTCAGTTTACTTGCTTTAGTGGAAGACAACAGAGTGTAGTAAGGAGAGGTGTTTGGAGAAGTAAGTTGTAGTCAACTGTGCTCTCCTCGAGGCCACTGTGCTCCAGTATTACCAGCCTAGGGGTTCTTCCAGTAATATGAATAATGTGGCTATTACTGTGAATGCTTTCCTTCAGATCTTCCTTATAATAGGTAGGCATGCTCAGAATTATTTTGGAGTCAGGATAGTGATATTTAATTGCTTGGGAAAGCTGAAAAAGTAAGTATTCGTGGTCGGAGTATGTAAGAAGGGTGATATCATTTATTTGGAAACACATTTGATGAAATATGATCAAGTGTAATTCCTTCTTATATGCTTATGTCAGTTATTTGCAGGAAAGACTTCTTATAGTGGGGTTATCAATTTACTTTTGATGTTTAATGGATTCTATTAACAAGACAATACCTTAAAAGTATTTATTTTATTGGTAGCTATTCATACATATAGTACTTGCAGATACCTCACTGTACATTTGCAAAGAAAAATTGTACTTTAAATGAGCATTACATGATTAACCAGAAACAGGCAGATTAGTCTACACAGATCTTTTATATTGTATTGGGTATTCTTCCAGATTTTACTTGCTGTATTTTATACTTCGATAGTAGCTAAAGATGCCCCTGCGCCCTGAAGGAGCAGGTTGGAAAGGACCTTTAAAGGTCATCTATTCCAACCCAGAACATTCTATGATTCTATGCTATGATAGCAGCCAGTGAAATTTACATTTTCTTTGATACCAGGAAGATGAATTGTTTGTGTGATGTTCACTTAATTTTGTTTGTTTGTTTATTTTTTAAATACCATGAGTTTGAAAATACATTATGGCTGGAGTACTTCCTGATTCTGCCACGAATAGTTTGTGTGCCCTGTGGGAAGTCCCACTCATAAGTGTTTGTCTTATCTAGTTTTATTGTTTATTGTAGTATTTGCCTGAGTATTATTTTGCTGGAAAATTAAAAAAAAATCTCTTTATATTTGTTTTGGTTACTCAGAAAAATGAGATCTTTTAGTATCAAACCTGTTATATATAAGACATTTTCAGACATTCGAATTTAGTGATCCTCTTTGTTTTTCTAGATGTTGCCTTAATAGTTATTCCCTGAAATGCCGGGGGTTTACCACTGAAATGCACTTTGTAAACTTCTGATTAGAATGATTCTGAGCTGGAGCCTATGAGACTTCCTCAGCTCTTGAGTCCTGCTTTGTTCATGACTACATGGTCTGCACGGTCCACATAACTATGTAGTCAGGTGCATGATCTGCACAGTCCACAGCTGGTTTCTGCCTGCTTTGGGTAGTGCATTGGTCTCCATAAGGAAACTTCAGTATTTGTGTAAGAAAGGATCCTGTGGTGAGCTGGGAGAGTGCATCTGCACTGCAATCCAGACAGACTCCGTGAAAATGAAACTCAGAACTATGTCTGGAAAAAAACCACCCTCTTAAGAAGCTTCATTTTTGTGCATGTAAAAAGGCAGGATTATGTGTGGTTAGTCTTATCCTTCATCTTAAATATAATGCTCTTTAAAAAAAAAACAAAAAACAGCCTCAAATACTTCACTGATTAGCAACAAATAATCCATGTAAATTACATATAATCCTTTAATAAGTCTGACTTCATTCTCAGTTTTGTTTCCTCCATGGCTTCCAGAAGGAGAAAGCAAGATCTAACAGCTGTGTTATACAGCTGATGGCAAATAGGAGTTCTGACATCCAGTAAACGTTACTTAACTGTAGTGAACTACTAACAACAGGAGAGTTTTGGTGATCATCCAGAACACAGAGACTGAGTGAAGGACACCATGTGAAGACTTTGCACCGTATTCTTAATTAATTAATTAATTAATTCATTATTTCAGGGGGCAGGGAGAGCTGAGTGTTGCTTTGTGTGCGTTGTGGCTTGACCCCATCAGGCAACTGCATGTATACCCAGCTGCCTGCTCACTGTGCCTCCTGCAGAGGCAATCAGAAGAGCAAAAGGGAGGAAAAACTCATATATTGGATAAAGACAGTTTAACAAATGGAGGAAAGAGACAAGAACAAGTGGTGCAAAGGCAGTTGGTCGCTTATCACCTCCCATGGCAGGTTGGTGCCCAGCCAGTTTCTGAGCAGCAGCTGCTTTGGAAAGGCTGCACTCCCCAGCTTTTACTGCCAAGCGTGGCATTACATGGTATGGAATAGCCCTTTGGCCAGTTGCGTTTGGCTGTCCTGACCATGTCCCCTCCCAGCCCCTTGCCCACCCCTGCCTGCCTGCTGGGGGTGCAGAGTGAGAAAAAGAAATCCTGGAGGCTGTATAAGCACTGTTCAGCAACAGCCACGACACTGGTGTATCATCCACACTGTCATCAGTTAAGGCCAAAGCACAGCACCATAGGGGCTGGTATGAAGAACATCTACTCTATCCCAGCCAGACCTGGAAGAGCATGTTCTTATTGAGTAGAAGTTAGTGATACCAGTGCCTCGTTATTGTTATCTTAAAGGAAGCAGCTACTCCTTTATAGTCTCTTTTTTTTTTCTCTTTAATAATGGTGAATTACTTCATTCTTACTGCAAGTACAAAAACTGTACCTTTTAGCTTTTGATTACCACATGTAGTAAGTACAATGCTAATTGTAACTGGATAGAGCTGCAAATTTTGGGAAACTAGATTGTGTGCAGAAGTGGTTTGCTTATTCAAGTTCAAAGAATTCAATTATTATGACAGAATAGAGAATTCCTTTCTTTTCCTCACAGAAGAGAACTAAGCTTAAAAACTATTTAGCTGATATTTTCTTTTGCATGTGTTTTCTGTTTTAGTTCTATTAAACCAGATTTTGCATCTTCTTTGATATTTTAATTCTAATTGTTAGCCAGTACAATTATTGACCTGATTTAAGTGGAGATTTCTTAGGCCTGAAAATCCATACAGCCTCTGCTTATTGACTTATTTGTTTCCAAGTTTTTTTAATCTGACTCTTGACTCCTAAGCTTCTGTGTGTTTGAGCTGTCCTTCAGTGGGAACTGTCTTTTTTGGTAGAATTTTGTAGAAAATTCTGGCTCTTGAATCATTTCACGTTAAAAAGTAAATCTTCATTGACATGAAGGCTTGGATTAATAGGTGCTGCTGGTTCAGTTCCTCGTCTCTCACACTGACAATGTACTTCTAAAGTTTTATCCCTTTTAAAACACAGAGAGAGAGTTTCTTCAGCCTATAAATCAAAGTGTTTTGGACAGTTATGACACAGGTTAATTAAAAGTGCTGATTGGATGTCCAAGGGATCTCCCCAGAGGAAAAGTCCATCCCGCTAGCATTTGCTGAAAAATCACACTTAATAATGTGACTGCTTCAGAGTTTAATTTGAGACAAGATAAAAAGCAAAATAATACAATATCTTTAGTCTCAAAAAGTTCAGACGATGATTCAGGCACTAATGCCACTTTAAAAAAGCATGTATGAGGTAATAAAGATCTCTTGCTCCCTTTACTGATACAGACTGCCTTATTATGAAAAACATAGGTGAAGTGTGAACTTAGTCTTAGACGGTTCTGTTTCAGATGAAGTTAATGTCAATGTTTCTGCAGAGTTTTGGGGTTTTGGATTGGGCATTTCAAAACAGCTAAAAGTAACTCTGATTATTTCATCAGGGCTAGGGAGATCTGGCTGCTAAAGATGACACCGTCTTCAGAGTTCTCTCGTTCTTCACATCCTACAGGATTTAATCATATTGAGTAGTGAGCGAATTCTCTCTATCCCTTTCAATAGCAGGGACCAATATCATAACTGTGTTCTTATGTGTCTTTTTTGTTAGATATTTTACTTTCAGGGTTAGTTGATTTTAGTCTTTCCTAGCGTTAGAGAAAAAGAACCAAACTTGTTGGATGCCTCTTTGCAATAATTCTTAGAAACCTTATTTATTATCATAAGAACTCATACACTGGCCTATTAATATTAAAATTAAGATGCAATACTATTTATTACTAGCTGTAGCTTCTCTAGGGAGACTTCATATTTTAAAAACAATACTCATTAATTTTCCATGGAAACTCTACTTGTATGAGCCATAATGTCTTTGGAAGCAAAGATTGTGCTGTGAGCAGATGATTATGGGCATAGAAGTAGTTTTCAGGATACGGAATGCCACTTGGCTTGCAGAAGAACTACTGGGACATAGGTGATTCTGCTGGAGCTGAGAAGGAAAAGCATGACCAAAGCCAGAAAGGCCAGTTACATAGTGGGTTTAAATTACTTTTTCTGCTCCTCTTTTCCTTGCTTTTTGTCTGCTTATGCCTTCTGCTGGCTCTTGACTGTTTGTACATAGTGCTCTTAATTTTGAGTGATCTCAAAGGTAAAAGGAAACGTACCTCATAAAAATTTTATTCAAGCTTTTTTATTTCAGAGTTGAGCAACTTCTGACTGCAGATACATTTTTCTAATATGTTGTTATCACTTATTTTGACAATAGAAGTATATGTATCAGTACAGTAGGCATATAATAGTAACACAGCTGAATACTGTGGTTTTAATGCTGCTGGTGTTTTACAGACATGCATCAGAGAATGAGCCACCTCGGGTCCTTAGTGAAGAGGAGATGAACAGACTGGGAGCGAGGATAGTGAAGGCAGAACTCATGGGAGACATGGTAATGTCCTTGAAACATTGTCGTGTCTTAATGCAGTTTTTCTTTAAAGCTCATAGTGATTTAGTTATTTAAAAAAAAAAAAAGGTATTCAATCAAATTAAGTCCTGCAAACTTTGATCAGATAGGATTTGAAGGTACTGCTTTTACTGTAACTTCTGCTCTAAATGCAGTGGTTCATAGGCTAGAATACAGATTCAGATCCCCAGGTTTTGTAGGCTAGGCAGCATATCCAAAACCAGTTGTTTTCTGCCTTTTTGATATGATTTAATGTCTTTTTATTAAGCAGGGAGCAGGTGAATATGACAAAGCTCCCAGTCTGTTACAAGGTAGACAGTATCTGGAGCTTTTGTTATTTCTCCAGCTTTGTCACAGGTAGACATGCTTGTGGCCCGTAGCTCTGCTGTGTAAGCATACTAATTATGGTATGGAAATATAAAACTGAAAGGAACTGCATAGGCCACTGCATCCAGCTCTGCAATGAGAACAACTGTGTGATGCTTTTCAGCTCCACAAAATGAGACTGGAACCATGGAGCTGGAATAAACAACTGCACGTTTGACATTGCTTTATTTTATTTTTTTTATTTGATTGCTGAATTTTTTTGAAGGATAGAATAACAATTTTTAGAAGTTGATCCTATCATTATGAGCCTTTGGGTTTTTCTAAGGATGAGTTTTTAGTGTACCTGTTTACCTTGCCTCTTGTGACAGAATATTTGCACCAAAATCTGCATCAGTAAGAAGTTTATCAGAAAGACATTTTATAACTTCAAGTGTCAAATTAGTATTTCCTGAGAGCCATTGATTTTTGGATTTATGGGAAGTTTTAAAATATTTGGCATATACATTTACTGCTGGACTTCAATGCTGGACATTGTCTTTGTCAAAGTCCCTATCACATAATTTACTTTTTGTTAGAAGAAAGTGTCCATTTTATAGATATTGTCTCTTCAAATTGATTTTATTTTATGGATTCTTTTTCTACAGAATTTACACACAGGTCTGTGTATGGAGCTTTACAAAATTTGAACAAATACACCTTTTCTAGAAATCTTGTGCATTTGAAATCTTAACAACAAACACAAAACCACCTGAGTGTAAATAATAAAATAACTAATCTTTACCTTGTTGCTCTTTAAATGTATTTTCATGGACTTTCTCTGATCAGATTGAAGATGCAGCTTGTTTAAACACATTCATCCCCACACACCAGAACAGATGGTTATGTAGCAGCATGTCCTGCTGGCTGGAGCTCAAGGTTGATCATGTGGGACAAGTGAATTCTGAATCTATTTTAGTTACTGACTTGCTGCTTGGGGTTGATCAAATGACTGAATTTTGGGTCAGCAAGTATAGGCTTGATTGTTGGAGTTGGATCAATGAAACTGGCAAAGTGGTCAGTGTAAATGGTTGTATTGCAGGTTGATAGATTGTCACCAGGCAATTCCTAGCAAACCAACATATTCTACAATGCTTGTATTTATTTAATAAACAGATGGAATAGGGAGCAGGAACATCAAAACCAATTTGTACAAGACTGTAAACAATTCTCATTTTCCAATTCTTGTCCATTTTAATACCCAGAGTAAGGTCTTAATTGCCAAAGTTGGACATGTGGTGCAGAGAGAGACTTGAAACTGCATAGCAAAAATGCGTGAGAGAGATTTCCATAGGTGCATTGTGTGTGTATTGTGCATGGTGCATCCGTTGTGTTAGCTATACAATTATTACTGTAATTGAATAATGTTTGAAATAGAATTTTTCTGGTTTTATGACAGTATGCATTTCTACACTTTAGATACCTCTGTTTTGAACATTTTTAAAAAATTTTATCTGCATTAAAGAATTGTGTGAACTATATTGACATTCACATTATATTACCACTTTCTTTGAAGGAGTTAGCTTCAAAACTTCAAGCAGAACTCGATAACGCACGCAAATTGAGGGAAACTCAAGGGCATATTCCAGCACAGTCTGGCAGAGAGGTAAGGGGAAAATATTCTTATTTTCTTTGTGCTAACACAATGGTATAGTACAGGTAGCAGCTGAATTATAGAGAAGATGAAATGTACTAAGGAAAATTCCAAGGTGACTTTAGATGAGTTACTGTTCAAATTATATTGCACTTTTTGGTGGTAAACCAAACTTTCTCCATTGTACTTTAGCAATTTCCATAGCAATTTTTTACTGGTAATATTTTCTCAGCAATTATATATATATATCTTCCATTAAAATTAAAACTAGTATGCGTCCTGTTGCTGACTGCCCTGGAGACCTAGACCTTGTGATGGGGTCCCTTGGCTGTCTTGGCTTTCATGCTCTGCAGTGACTGACACAGGCACTGAAGCGGGTGACCTGCATCTTGCTTAACTTGCCACAATTTGATGCTGGCTGTTGCATCACTCTCATGTCTCTGAAGAAGCTGACACTTCAAATGCTCTTCTTTTTAAAGGGTACTATTCCAGAAATGGGCAGTAATCTTTTTCCGTGCCAACTTTGATATAGCTGCAGGGAAACAGGGTCAATATCTTCATTTATGAGCTCTGTCCTCATGATGGAGAGGATACCTTTAGGCAAAAACTAATGTTCTTGTCCAATTTGACCCCAATTCCATAGTGAAATTTCAGTTTGAAAAGTCACTAAAACTTTTTTTGAAAAGACTTATTCTCAGACCTCATACATTGATTAGCATTTCTCCGATCTTTAGTGGACAGAGTGAACTGGATGTTAGTATATAGACCTCTTGCTGACTACATTGTGACAAATGTATTGAAGTATAAAGTCAATCCTTGAATTCAAAAGAATTAAAGATTACAAAAGCTCTGTATTAGGCAGACTCTGCTTCATCACAGTGCAATTCTTAGGAATGTTTTTTGTGTGTATACCAATAAGCCTGAATAAAGCAGATTGGGGTTGTGTAATTATGCAGGAAAAAATCCATTCAGATTTTAAAATTGGCAAGTAGAGGATGTGTTATAGGTGATCCTCAAAAATGTTGATAAAGACTTGTTCCTTAGAAATTGAGTAACAATTTTGGTCATCCTTTGTCTTAACTGTAGTTTGATTTTTATCTTAATTTTTAATTAAAGGATTTTTAAAACTAGCAGCATGTAGACATTGCAAAAGTGTACCAAATGTAAATACTATTTAATTTTTAGAAAGGAAAATAATTTAAAAAACCACCAATAAAAAACCAAAACCAAACAAAAAACTAAAGTGCAAGCATTCAGCATGAGGCCTCTCTTTCTAGCCCTCTTCTTCTTGAGGGTGGTTGATCTCACAATTTATGCTTTTACCAAGCTATAGGCTGCTCTGCAACAGGGACATTCCTCCCTATGTATAGAAACACCAAGCTTAGTGATGTGAGAGTTTGAGGATTGAGAAGGATAAGCTGACAAAGCAGAACTAGTCTGCATGCTTCTGGCCTGAAATGGTTCCTAATCTCTCTCTGGACTGGCATCTGGAAAGTTTGTGAGTATTCCAGGAGTAGCCATACTGAAAAAGAAGGGTGTATTACAGACTTGGCTAGATTGAAATACCATCTTGCTGTCCTAAAGCCTCAAAGGGTTTGACTATCTGTGAATATGCAGACTCCCCAAAACACGGTGAAAACCTTGAAGTTTACTTGAAGCTGTGTGTCTAAACAACCCAGATGTTCAGAAACCATCTGGTAGCGCGAGAGAGGCTGATCTGTGAAGGTGTATTTGATGCTGTATGAATCAGGCTTTCTGCCGCATTGACCACCAAAGGGACAGCCTCAGTCAGTCCAGCCAGCTGTATTCCAAGTTAGATACCTGAAGCAGTTTCCACAGAAGTGGTTTTCCAAATGAATGTCTCATTGGTTCCGAATTTTTATAGCTTTGCCTCCTCTGCCAGTTAGAAACATGAAGTATTTTATTTCAGACAGGTCTGTCTCTGGTTCCTTGGAGAAGCATGGCCAACATCATGCTGAAAAGTCTTGAACTGTGGCTTTGCCTTATTTCCACTTTTATTGGAAGAGCTGGGGAGATAAATCAGGAAGCAGCAAAGGCAGTTGTGAATGCAACTCCCTAGGAAGGATTTTTGATTCTTGATTAATTGAACATGGATCAATTTCCCAATTCAGTTCACACAGCGAGCTCGTGGATGAAAACTTGTGCTAATATAAGGGGGTGTGCGTGGACTGCTGGGGTTTGTACACAGGACATGATCAATTCTTTTGAGTGCAGTGCTGGTTTATTAGCAAGAAGAAATTTATTAGAAGAAACTACAGACTGAAAGGACTGTGAAGTGGTAGCTTAAATCCTGGTTTTATTTATTTTTTTTGTTTGTAAGTGAGAACAGAGGCAAACCAAGCTTTTATAGTTATTTTGGTTTAGACAAGAATTCTGCCCCCAAGCAACCCCAAAATTGTGGTTTTGAAGTACAGCTGGGCTGTATGAAGGGACTAATGCTGAATTAAGTATTTTAATTTCATTTGTGATGGAATTAAGCATCTGAACATAAGCACCATTTATATCTAAATTTTCATGGGTATTTTGAGAAAAGTGAAGTTACAATTTGAGCCCTAATGAAACTGGAAGAGAAGGGTGCTGTACCATAGTGTTTCTGAGTTAGGATAGATGATGAAAATGAGTAGTTACTGAATGTAAGGGGACAGCAGAAAATTGTGGAGCCTTCAACATTTAAGAAAATTCCCATGTGTTCATGGTTTGCCTCTAAGTACAACTTTTATTTTTGTTATCTGAAAGTGCTTACACAACTCTTGATTTGATTGCATTGCTTATGAGGATGCTACCTCTGCCATTGTCAGTACCAGTAATAACTGATGTCATTTATGCTTTTATTGTGCATTTTTACTTAAAATACATCTGGAACATTAACATTACTTTGAGGCAGATCATTTGCAGTGGTTTTTGGTGATCCAAAAATGGGGACGTAAAAGGTTCAATGAGCAAGAGGCAGACTGAAAACAAATGCAGAAAAGGTGATTCTTCACCGAGTGGTTGCTCCAGGTTGTTGTGGATATTGGAAGCTTGCGTAGATTCAAGGAGAGCCTGGAGAAGTTCATGAAAAATAAATCCCTTGAAGACTGTACAGAGATGAGGTCTGGCTCCTAATTGCTGAGTTGCAAATGCTTGGAGAGATTCTTTCTCTTTGTACTCTTCATTAGGCATTCACTTTTGGCTACCGCTGGAGAAGGCATGTTTGGGATTAGGTTTGATCCATGTTAGGTGCTTTTATGTTTTAATCCACACGTAGAAAGTGTTCTCTGTGATGATTCTAAATAATTTATGATGTGCATTATTTGTGTGCTTTGCCTTTTCAGGTTTTTTTTTTTCAGATATTTTCCCATCTCTTGTCATACTTCCCTCAGTGTGGTCCCTGCATAAGAATTAGAGTAAAATCTGCTGAATGAAAAAAGTTTGCTTTTGTGTTGCTAAAGACTGACTTAATTCTGTTTGTGTTTTTCAACCAGGAAAAATATTTACATGATACACATTTAGGTAAATTTAGATTCAGTTCAGGGCAGTGGATGAATGAAACGTGTCCATCTTTTAAAACTGTTTTCTATTCCAGATGAAGTATGGCTTGTAAGAAAAAACCCTCACTGCTAAGCCTGTTACTGGGCTCCATAGCACTTAGTCAATATGTGGGAGACAGAGAGTAGTCTCTGCTGAGCGATTGCTAGAGACAGTTCTTAATAATGATGAATTGTGCTTAAAATACAAAATCAGTGCAAAAATGAATGAAAGGTAGAAGGTGGTACTTCAAGCAAAGTAACATGGTAGAGCATATACTATCATAGAGTATTCAAAAGACGAGAGTAAAGTTCTGGAAAAGTAGAGAGAAGCAAATTCAGGCTTTTCTGTCATGCATTTGCAAAATTGTAAGGAAACCAAAAATTATTTGGTATAATAAATCTTCATTTGAATAACTGAATTTTCTGTGAAAGTCCAGCAGCCTTCAGTCTAGTACAATTCATTTAATAAATATAATGCATAAGGAATAAAACAATGGTTTGTTTATATATATATGCTGAAATTTTTCTAATGAAGGGCATGCAGTGCATGAAAGGTATCTGCAGAGTGACAGTCTTCAGTTTTGGCAGGCACTGTATTTCTCTTTGTAGTAGACATCTGAATGACATGATGCTGCTTTAAAGGAGATCACTTTTTCTAGACTACCTGTTGCCTCTCTAAGAGTAACACTCTCCAGTCCATTGCTTGTGCATCTCAGGTGGAGAAGGTTTATAGTGCAGGAAAAGGTAATTTAGCTAGTTTTATGGCAGAAGTAGGGCTTGTCTTTTAGTGAAAACCTTCATAATGTCAAGAGCTTCTTGTACTTCAGGTGCTTCTGCCTTTTGAAATTATTCTCCAAGAGTGTAAATAGTAAGGATGATTAGGTATTCAATACCTCCTCTAACTATATCTGAACACAAATTTTAATGTATTGAAGGTCTGATGTTTAAGTTGGATCCCTGAGATGCATTAGAGTCCAGACTGAGAGAGAATTCTGGAGAACCTAGCTCACTATAGGTATTTTTTTTTTTTCTGTGTTTGAAGAATTAACACTTACAATTTTTCAGAAAGGAAACAGCTTGGTTTATACCTCAAATTCTGTTTATGATAAAATACCATCCTTAGCATACCATTGCTTGCAGTTCTGCATTAAGAGAGACAGTGTGGAACATGCAGGTTCTTCATCCAGAGAAATTATTTGCAGCACAGTTATCACGAGACAAGTAAACCATATGATGTTAGGAGCAGTCGAGAGGAATCCGCTGTGGAACAAACCTGAAATAATATTCTGTTGGTTCCAATAATAATAATGGGGAAAAATGAGAATGTTACTTTATATTTTGCATGTTTTAAAGATTGGCCTTTTCAGAAATCACTTAAAAATGACAGTGATTCCTTGGAAAAATAGTCAATTATGTAATAGTAAAGTGGCATGTTTGTGTATGTTTATTTGAATATGTGTGGGTATACATGTATAATTTAGA